CATCACTTTGTGGTAGTTTGGGTAGGTAGTGTGTTTCTAGAAATTTATCCATTTCCTCTAGGTTTTCAAATTTGTTGGAGTATAGTTTTTCATACTACTCTGTTATGATCCTTTTTATTTCAGTTGGGTCTGTGTAATGTTCCCTATTTCTTTTCTTATTTGGGTTATTTGCATCCTCTCCTGTTTTTCTTTTGTCAGTTTGGCTAGTGGTTTGTCGATTTTGTTAATCCTTTCAAAGAACCAACTTTTGGTTTTGTTGATTCTATCACTTTTCTATTCTCTATTTCATTTTTTTCTGCTCTAATATTTATTATTTCCTTTCTTCTGGTGGTTGTGGGCTTCTATTGTTCTTCTCTTTCTATTTCTTCAAATTGTGTATCTAATATTTTAATTTTGTCCCTTTCTTCCTTCTTGATGTGTGCATCTACTGCTATAAATTGACCTCTGAGCTCTGCCTTTGCCATGCCCCAAAGGTTTTGGTATGATGTGTTTTCATTCTCATTTGATTCTAGGGGTTTTTTATTCCATCTTTGATTTCTTCTATTACCCAGTGGTTTTTTAGCATGGTGTTATCTAGTTTCAATGTAATTGATTTTTTTCCTTGCTCTTCCTGTTGTTAATTTCTACTTCGATGGCATTGTGATCAGAGTAGATACTTTGTATTATCTCAGTGTTTTGGATTTTGTTGAGGGTTGCTTTGTGGCCTAAGATGTGGTCTATTCTGGAGAACGTTCAATGAGCATTGGAAAAGAATGTGTACTTTGCAGCTGTTGCGTGGAGTGTTCTACATATGTCTATGAGTTCTAGTTGGCTGACTGTGGCCTTTAGCTCTTCTGTATTTTTGCTGAGTTTCTTTCTAGATGTTCTGTCCTTTACCGAGAGTGATGTGTTGAAGTCTCCTACTATAATTGTGGAACTGTCAATTTCTCTTGTCACTGCAGTTAAAGTTTGTTTTATGTATTTTGGAGCCCTGTCATTGGGTGTGTAGATATTTATTATGGTTATGTCTTCATGATGGATTGTCCCTTTAATCATGATATAGTACCCTTCTTTGTCTTTCATGGTGGATTTTGTTTTAAAGTCTTTTACCTGAGATTAGTATTGCCACTGCTACTTTTTTTTGATAGGTTTTTGCTTGATATATTTTTTCCATCCTTTGATTTTTAATAAATTTATGTCTTTGTTTCTAAGGTATGTCTCTTATAGACAGCATATTGATGGATCCAGTCTTTTTATCCATTCTGTCACTCTATGTCTCTTTACGAGGGCATTTAGGCCATTTATGTTCAGTGTAATTATTGGTAGGTGTGAGTTTACTACTGTCATTTTGTAATGCTTTTTTTCTGTGGTACTGATGATTTCTTTGTTCCTCTTACTTTCCTGTGCTGAATTATTTTTGTTTGTGGATTTTTTTCATTTCTTTTTGTTTTTGTAGATTTTGTTTTTACTGAGACTTTTTCTTCTTTATTTTGATGAGGAGTTTTGTTAACTTCCTTTGTGGTTACTCTGAATTTTACTCTTATCTTCCTAGCTTTGAACCAGTCTATTATTCCTTAGTATCATCTTGCCTTCCTCTCCATTAGAAAGTTCTGTACCTACACAGTTTATTCCCTCTTTTATTGTTCTGACATTGTTGTCATTTGCAGATTAACCTCTCTGGTTCCCTGTTGTAAATATTTTGGTTTAGAATAGTCCTTGAGAGTTCATTTCCTATGTTGGTATCTGGCTGGTGCGATCTGTCATCCTAGATTCTGGCTGTTGTGTGATGTTGTTTGTTCTCAAATCGAAGGACTCCCTTTAATAATTCTTGTAAGTTTGGTTACGTTTTTACATATTCCCTTAATTTCTGTTTATCTGGAAATGTCCTAATTTTACTATCATATTTGAACAAGAGTTTTGGAGGATATATTATTCTTGGTTGCCAATTTTTTTCTTTCAAGGTTTTATGTATGTCATTCCATTG